GCATGGCCCGGCGTTGCCCGTGCTTGATTAAAAAATCTTACGACTCATACAGCAATCGCTATCACTTGACTTAAAATATTTTTGCCCTTCCGTGCCTTTAAAGGAGTGCCCTTTGCCGTGCTGATGTTGCTACATGCCTTACTTCTTGCCTATCTCACACTGCGAATTTTTTCTAAGCTCTATACTAAACATTAAATCTGTTACGAAAAAAGAACTAAACAAAATGAACACAAAACGATCAGCTTTAAAAAAGGACTCGTAACTGGAAAAGCCGAATGAAAAAAGAATGTTAACAACAAATACTTTTTCACACCCAACCCAGTTCTGCGGAACCAGAATCAACGTTGAGTTTAAGCAAGCGAATCAGCCAATTGGAGTAAAGTGCCATGCAGATTTAAATTTTTCCCACTTGTGACGAATGCAGCTATGGATTTTTTTGCATGCTAGCATGCTAGTTAACATTCGTGTCAGTCAGCTGTTGGCTCTCACGCTGGCCAATAGAATCTTCCTGCCTATTCGTGGCAGTCAGCTGTTGGCTCTCACGCTGGCCAATAGAATCTTCCTGCCTATTTGTTTTAGTCAGCTGTTGGCTCTCACGCTGGCCAATAGAATGTTCCTGCCTATTCGTGGCAGCCAGCGATAGGCTCTCACTCTGGCCAGTACAAAATGGCCGCAAACTACATGAAAACTGCCGTAGAAGCATGAAAAAATCGATTATTTCCACTATCGATGGGAGTTGGGAAATGCAAAGATGGTCTTGGCCTTTCTGCTAACTTAGAGCATGTGCATGTAAATTTTGGTGCAAATCCGTCGAAAATTGCGACCGTGCATTCGTTACACACACACACACACACACACACACACACACACACACACACACACATCCTGCCTTTTATAGATAGAGATTTTAGTTACGATCAGCTTCAAAAAAGGACTCGTAACTGGAAAAACCAAATGAAAAAAGAATGTTAACAACAAATACTTTTTCACATCCAACCCAGTTCTGCGGAATCAGAATCAAGGTTGAGTTTAAGCAAGCGAATGAGCCAATTGGAGTAAAGTGCCATGCAGATTTAAATATTTCCCACTTGATTTTTTGTGTGTGCTAGCATGCTAGTTAACATTTGTGTCAGTCAGCTATTGGCTTCCACTCTGGCCAGTACAAAATGGCCGCAAAGTACATGAAAACTGCCGTAGAAGCGTGAAAAAATCGTTTATTTCTACTATCGATGAGAGTTGGGAAATGCAAAGTCGGTCTTGGCCTTCCCGCTAACTTGGAGCATGTGCATGTAAATTTTGGTGCAAATCCGTCGAAAATTGCGACAGTGCATTCGTTACACACACACACACACACACACACACACACACACACACACACACACACATCCTGCCTTTTATAGATAGATATTTTCATCGGATCTAGACGTCATCAAACTTGAGAGTTTGAAAAAAAAAACTATAATGAATAATTTATAATGCCAAAAAATTAACGCTGAATGTACTTTGAAATATTTATGGAATGATGTTATAAAGCACCCATATTTAAGATTATATGTAATTTGATGTTGCAAAAATCCTCGCCTCAACAAAAATATGATGACGTCAGCAACTATGAAACAGAATTTTTACTATATTCACAATTTTCTTTAGAATAACTTAAAAACATTGATCTTGACAGTCTATTTTTAGCAACATATCTTGATTTTCAAATTAATACGTCAACCAAAAAGGAGCAGTTTCATTTGAAAGACTTACAGCCACATCACGTAAAAACACTGGTTGCCATACGATAACCGAAGTTAAGTAACGTCTATGTTCGTCACTACCTAGATGGGTAACCACTGAGGAATACCAGTTGCTGTAAGGGTGGGTAGTGTCAGAAATAAGGGCTTGAAATTGTTAATCGGAGAGCCGAGTTCCAATTCCCGTTGTCAGTCAATCAGTTATGTATCATGCGTGATACACGCTTAGGCGATCATGTATCTTTCGATACATGACTGACGAGGCAGATTTTTTTCGCGCAGTAGATTGTCCGTTCTTTCTGTGGTAGATTAGTTGCTATCCAAGGCTATAGAACCTGGCCTGCCTGCTATTTACCCATAGCTGGGGGAGAAAGAGACGATTCACACCTTTCCTAAGGGTATTAGCACGTAAGTGAATTTCAGTTAGTTATGTGCCATGCGTGATACACGCTTAAGCGATCATGTATCTTTCAATACATGACTGACGAGGCAGATTTTTTTCGTGCAGTAGGTTGTCATTTCTTTCTGCAGTAGACCAGTTGCTATCCAAGGCTAGAGAACTCGGCCTGCCCTGCTATTTACCCAACGGTATTAGCACGTAAGTAATGGATTCGACAGGAATTCGAACTCTGCTCTCAATCCGAGCCGCTATCCATTACTCCACCGTTGGGTTGGTTATATTCACTTACGTGCAAATGGCATGAATCCAACTTTTCTGTCTTCCCAAGCTATGGGTTAATCAGACTTTTGTCACTAAATCCTATTATCTCCCCACCCCCGCAAAAAATATTCTGGCTTAAATAAACTGAAAAGGGTTGATAAGCCGTAGAAATGAATGATTCCGTACCTTTGAAATAACATGGTATTAAAAAAAAAAGCATCTGTACCGATCATCTGGGATCGAATCACTGATATTGTTTACGCGTTGAATACGTGCCAATTTAATCCTGACAATACATCGTAAATAAAGGTTTGCGGTCGCATCACCTTGAAACACCGGTACGACCAACGAAGTTAAGCAATGTCGAGCCTGGTCAGTACTTATATGGGTGACCCCTGAGAAATATAAGGTGCTGTAAAGTTGGCTGTGCGAGTAATGTATAATGATTCGGAATTGTTAATTAGAAAGCCGAGTTAACCAATGCCGGTTAGAATGCTGACGGAACCCAAATATTCTCATATGCTGCACAAGAAAAACACAATAAAAAAAAAAAGATGATCAGAGAAGGAATGATCACAATTTGGAATAATCACAAGTTCAATTCCTTTTACCTTTAAAAATATTCTTTTTTAAAAGTGCAAAAAAAAATGTTATTAAGATACTAAGAGAAAGATTGTGATTTTTGGTTGATTTTGTTTAGTGGCATCTCTGTAGGTCATTTGATGCCGAAATCTAAATATTTGTTTAGTGGCATCTCTGTAGGTTATTTGATGCCGAAATCTAAATATTTTGTACGCAATGTTTTTTTAATATAATAGTTTTAGAAATACATGGCTTACTAATTAACCCATAGGTAGGGGAGGATATTTGGCGTGTAAGTGAATATACGAATCTAACGAGAATTGAATCTCGGCTAACAATTTCGGACCATTATCCATAACACCTAAGCTTACATCATTTGGTATTTCCAGTCAGTCACCCATCTACAGGGTGATCCAAAAGTTTTATCAATCCTACATAATATAATTTTCTATTCCAGGTGGCTGATACGAGCTCCTACACGAAAATGGTGTTCATACAGACCTTCTTGATGTGTGACAGCGTCAATGAAAGTGAATAAGATGTGCTTTGTATTACTGTACTATTTGTTTGTTCTATTGTTCTTATTACTTTTTGGTAGGGGGCGACAAAACTTTCGGATCATCCTGTAGTCCACAAGCCGTGATCTTACTTCGATGATCGTACAGGAACCGGTTTTTCAACGTGATATGGCCAGAAACTTTAAAAGAGAGGAGGGAGGGAGGGAAGAATGGAGAGAGGTAGAGATGGAGATAGAGAGAGAAAGAAGACGGGAAATAGAGGAGGAGACATATAGTGAGACAGAGGGTCAATAAATAAATCTCAAGTAAGGAATTTATGACATAAAAATGAAGTCTCACATATTGACGATATTGAAAATCCTCGTTCCATAGATCACTGAACCAGATTGAAACAGGTGAACATTTCGGATTCAAAATCTTGACGTATATTCGCCTGGAAGTGATGACTATGGGGATGGGAACACTCGTTGTCATAAAAGAAAATTATGATTACGAGAAATAAATAAAAAAAATGTATATATATATCCTATTTTGAGAGAATATGTGAATGTATTGGTCGGTATTTAGAATAGACGTTGGTGAGAACGTGATAATGAAATGATCTCTTAAGCGCGCTCAAAATGATTATTCAGTCACTTATGTGCCAGGCGTGATACACGCTTAGGCGATCATGTATCTTCGATACATGACTGACGAGGCAGATTTTTCTGTCCTTCTTTACGGTAGCGAATATTGGACGATTTCCTGAAAGAAAAAGACTCGAGGCGATGAAGATGTGGTTCTACAGAAGGATGCTGAGAATACCACGGACCGAGCGTGTGAGCAACGATGAGGTCTTAAAGAGGATGCAAACAAAGAGGAGGCTTATACCTAACATCAGAAAGAGGCAGCTGAAGTTCTTCGGGCCACATAATGAGGAAGGAGGGACCGGAGAATCTGATACTCATAGGTCGAATAGAGAGAATGAGAGACAAGGGAAAACAACGCATGACATTCCTAGCGGCCTTAAGCAAGTGGGTGACTGAACGTGGTCTAGGGGGGGAGGTGTTGAGACCTACAAGGGATAAAGGGAGGTGGAGAGCCATGATCGCCTACGTCCTGAAAGGAGAAGGCACATAGAAAGAAAGAAAAATGTCACCATTCCTTTCTACGGTAGACCAGTTGTCATCCAAGGCTATAGAACACGGTCTGTCCTGTTATTTACCCATAGCTGGGGAGAAGAAAAGGAGTCATAGCTTTCCTAAGGTTATTAGCACGTAAGTAAATGTAATGGATTCGAATTGAATTCGAACTCGGCTCTCCGATTTCTCAATCCGAGCCGCTATCCATTACTCCACCATTATTAGCCTTCTAGAATTCACGCAAGTACTGATTTACACGAATATATAAGAATTCGCTGACAGTTTTCGGAAATATGCACACAGAATAAATATCTGACTTACGATAAGACAATTGTGGCGGGTTCATTAAAATATCACATTTGCAGACGCTTCAATAATGGAAATCGAACGAATATGTCGCCCAGAAGATGACAGTGTTTACAGCGAGTTCTCAATCTCCCATTGTGCTAGGAAACCAGACACCCCGATAAGCAGTTTGCAGGAATTTGCTGCATGTAAGAGACAGCGTATATCATTTGAGAAAACACGGAAAGTTAGGGTTAGGATTTACACATAGGACTACAAATGTATATTGTTGGTATACGCGCATGTGGTGGAGCCCAGTAGGCGACGAACGAAGAAAGTGAATAGTGTTTTTCGCCATCATGTCAAACCAATAATACTGCTACAGAGAGAAAGAGAATTAATCTAGAGAAGAAAAAAAAAAACAAAAACAAAAAAAAACAAAACAAAGAAAAAAAATCAAAAGACAAAAAATAACAGAACGGAAATAACTATTTTTAATTAGTCAGTGTAGAAATAGATTATCCTAATCTGATGCGAACATACTTAATTAGTGTCTGTAACATATGAGTATATATGAGAAGTAAAATCATTAACACACACAAACACACACACTGACCATATATTGGTAGTTGCTCATATTTAAACGAAATATATACAGTCGAGTTGGCTGCATGTAACCGTAAATTCTATGCTAACAGTTTCTTTTCTCGGACTTCTCGCTTGTGGAACTTCCTTCCAGTCCCAAGCGTTCCAGCCAACCTTAATCTGCAACAAATTAAATGCAATATCAATCGCATGTATATTTCTACAAATTTCCGGTCATCTCCCATATATAGGGACGCTTGTTTTGCAAAAAATTCAAGATATCTAAAATAGTTACTGTGTGTTTTTAAAAATCATCATCACAACGGAATGTATATTTTATCGCAGTTACAATAAGTTTGTATTTGTAATTTATCTCTGCAGATGATCTTGGGAAAGATCGAAAGTAGTTGGGTTAACAAAAAGTACGGCATCTTCTTTGATTAAATTCATCTTAACATCAAGAAACAGAATAGACAACTGGAAAGGATCAGCGACAAAATAAATATACACAATATGTCTATATTATTCAATGAAATAAAATGTTATATATATGTGTGTGTGTGTGTCTGTGTACAGGAAGTGTTTCCAAAACAATTTCATTTGATTGATTATTTGATCAGATTTTGCGAAGTGCATCAGCCCGAGAAACTTTAGCACACCTAACAACCCTTCCACACTCACTAAAACACAATTTCAATATATATATATATATATATATATATATATATATATATATATATATATATATATATATAACGTATAAATTGAAAATATATCAAAATAATTTCAAGATTTAGTCATTTCAAATATATATATGTATATATAGCGTATAAGTTGAAAATATATTAAAATAATTGCAAGATTTAATCCATTCCAATATATATCTTACTTATTATAAAACGCAGATTATGTGTGTGTGTGTGTGTACGTTTATATATTGGTTTGGATTTCCTACATTTTTCAACCGATTTCAAAAAAATTTCACAGGACTACGTAAAATTATCTTGCGGTGGTTCTGGCAGCGCCAAAAATTGGAAATACACAATTGTTTTTGCACAAAGTCATTTGAAAACACGATTAAGAGGCATTAATGAAAGGGGGACAAATCATATGGAGTTATACTTATTAATATCGAGTTATCGAGTTATACTTATTATAAAACCCAGGTTGGTTGTGTGTGTGTGTGTGTGTGTGTGTGTGTGTGTGTGTGTGCATTAGTTTATATATGGGATTGGATTTTACATTTTTCAACCGATTTCAACAAAACTTCACTTTTTTTGGCAGGCAGTGTTTCTTATTGTCTTGCACACTTTTTTCTTTATTTTTACATTCAGAATGCTTTAAAAATTCCATTTACAAGACAATTGTTTATAACAAAATTCTATTCAATCGGTAGATTCATAACGATTGAAAACAATGTTTTTATTTGAGTTTGGGTTTGACCAATTTGTAAAAAAAAAAAAATAAATAAAACTAATTAAGACATGCGTGTCCGTCAACCTTAAACAATAATCTTCGCCAATTTTATTTTTTCAGTCTTTATGATGGTCGATACTTGATCTATCCCTTACTGTTACATCCCCGGGCAACGCCGGGCTCTACTGCTAGTGTGTGTATATATATATATATATATATATATATATATATATATATATATATGTGTGTGTGTGTGTGTGTGTGTGTAATCCATTAATTGGTATCTGTCTCATCCTGTTCATGTTTATCCGAAGGAAATAGTGTAGTCCGTTCAGCGACAAGTGCTTATTGATGAACGAATAAATAAATTAATTTTCTTCCCAGTGATATTGTGAAACATATATCGTAGGAAATTCAATCAAGTAGCATTTCAATATCAATTCTAGGGATCGCCCAGTTTTTTTTTTTTACCAATTTGTCTTGAATTCTAGTCCACATGGGAATAAAAACGTCGCATATTCTTATCTTGAACTTGAAAATTTTCTAACTTAAAAGCCAAAAATGAGACAAGGTTACTATTTTTTTAGCATCAAAGTGTATTCCACTCATTTTTAAATGCAAGTGTAATTTCGAAAATATATTAAAAGCTATTAATTTTCTCCTTGAAATATTGCTTTCATCTATATTGAAAAATGACTTCCTAAGTAATTTCCAAGTATAAAAATAGTCAGTAAAGACTTTATTATGAATAAAATACGTTTTGAAAATTCCTTTTTATCACTTTCTTTGTATACTTAAACTACAATAGCTGTAATCTAAATAAAGTTGCCTTTTTTTCCAATTTATCTCTCACGACAGTTTAGGCAAAAGGAAATTGTATTATAAAACTTTTAAAAAAATTGTCTATTTTTAAAGACAACAACGATGTTTTACTTGTATAAAGTATAGAGTAATTGTTCAAATAAACAAACTTGATTTGAATGAAATCAAATTTTACTTATTTAACAGTGAAACCATCAACTTTTTCTGCCTGAGTTCTTATTTACATTATTTATATTTGGATTACTCTCCTCATTTTTGTTGTTGCTATCACAACGATTTGGACTCTGTGTCCTTCCTCAGGTGTATATCGATCTGAAGCAACCGACAGGGGATTCTGAATTGACCGGTTTTATCTCCGGGGTTAGACAGTTTTCATTCCATTGTCCGCGTGTAAGGATATTTCGTCTAGTTTTTATTTTTTAGTACTGCTTAGTTATTGCTCGCCCGTTCAACACCAGGACAATATTCAGAAGTAGTTCCATTCTACGGAGAAATCGCTGCCGATTGAACACCTGATACGAAGAAAATGGCCAAGTATTGCGTGTACTCGATCCTTGAAGTTTCGACAGAGAATATAAAGTTGAAACAAGCCGCTACCTAAAAGCTGTAGTGAGGGGGTAAGACAATGAATTCATGCATGGCTGATCCTATATGTAGGAAAAGGTGTAGTTATCAGCCTTCAGCAAAATGAAGTGAAAATACTGGACAAAGAACACCATGGAAGAGTTAGACTTATGAAAGAATCAGCACATATGCTAGCCTATGAGGATCTCATTAGTAGGCCCAGCATAGAAATAAATACAATAAGGGAGACGCTAATAAAGAAATAAATAGAAATGACTTTATGTCTTCAGCAGTAATAACGGACAGCAGTGTTTTAGTGGATTAAAATGTTGGTTAGTGAATTTGGTGATATAGTAATTTTGAGTTCAATCGCTGGGTCGGGTAGTGTGTACTTGCTCTCAGTGGATACGAGCGAGCAATAAATGACCATTACTAAAATTGAGAACTAGACATCGGTAGTGTAACGAGAACAATATAATGCTTAGATTAAATAGGGTTTAGTTCAGAATTTCTTGAAGGTTCCCCAAATCTATATACACTTGAGAAAGGGCGGAGAGCACACCGGCCGAAACGTTGTGATAAATACAAAAAAAAAAGATGAGGACAATAGTCGAAATATAAATAGTGTAAATAATTCAAAATTTTGTTCCGCTAATTGAACTAGTTGTGGCTATTGACATGCGCACAGCGTAACTGTTATCGCTGCGAGAAATCAGCGATCAGAGTTCAAATCCCAGTTTGGTTAGTTGTATTCACGTTCGTAAAAACGCTCCTTGCTCTTTAGCATTGGTTTGCACCGGCCACGACAGAAAAAAAAAGAAGAAAAAGAATCTTGATTTCAAAACAGTGGCGAAAACAGGAAACCACTCCACTCGCCAATTGACAGATAATAAAGAAAAAAGAATCTGTTGAGAGCCATAATCGTCTATGTCTTAAAGGGACTAACATTTTTTTTAGTTTTGATGTTTCCACGGCACCATAATAGATCCATACGTAAGCCTTCGTAGGTTGGTTTTATTTAGCGGCATATCAACACCTCTATGGGTATTTAATCCCGAAATCTAAATATTGTGTACGCAATTTTTATTTTTAACTTTGGAGATAATAATGGTTTTAGTGACACAGATTTTTCTAATTAACCCAGAGCTGTATTTTCGCGAAAGTGAATATAACGAACCCAACTGGAATTGGAACTCTGCTCTCCGATTAAGAATTCTGAGCCATTATCCATTACACCACCCGCACATCCTGTATTCATAACCGGCCGCCAATCAAGCCCCCTTCGAAGGTGTCCGGAGCTCGACACAGCAACTGAGTTTTGATCAGAAACTTTTACGATATAGTATCTAATCTGAAGTGATTAACTGAGAAACACTGGATTATGTGCATTGAAAAGGAAGAAAACGATGTTGAAAATTAAATATATTCTTATGCAAAATAAATGATTTGTGAGGTCATTAGGTTGCGCACTACTTACTGTCTACGTGCATATTCATTCGCTAAATGGCGGCAGATGTACGATTTTTAAAATACGAAGCGTAATCCAGAACTTCTGAGAGCAATACGGAGAGAACATGAACTTCTCTGTGGCTGAATGGTTAACAGCACGTCATGACAAAGTAGGGTTGCAGGTTGGATTCCTCTCAAAGAAAGCATATTTCTTTACGAAATTTCTCGAACATTCAGGCCGGTAAATGTAACAATGAATACTGTTTATTTAAAAAAATAGACCCGTACATTATATATGTGTGTGTGTGTAATATATATATATATATATATATATATATATATATATATATATATATATATATCAAGAAAAACAGTAATATATATAATCCGGTGTTCTTATTGATATATTTTATTTTTATAAAACAGTGCTCAATGTAAATTTACAGAGCATAAATATTATAAATTAACTTCCAAAATTCGCTTGAAGATGAAACGGAACTAATGCTTTTAATTTAATTATATAATTAAATTTGAAGTTTTTTAGCTTCAGTTTTGATAAATGGTTATTATTGCGTAGCGAAAAAACATTTTAAATCAGTTAATATATATATATATATATATATATATATATATATATATATATATATATATATATATATATCCGCGCGTGAATGGCTGTGTGGATATTATAATTCTGTAATTGATATTTTCTGCAGTAAACCTGCATGATAATGACCCGTATTTGTGGATCGCTCAGAGAAGGTCACGAGGATTGGCTTCGGAGACAATTGAACTTTTATTTATTTAAGATCTGCAACATCAGTAAAAGTTTTATGACGTAAGCAAAGTTAGTTTTATACAAAATTCAGATACCAGATGGAGAAGGAAAAGTATTTTTAGAACATTTACAAAGATCAGAACCACTAACGATTTCTTTATATCTCCCTCCGAATCTCATGCGTTTATATCTATCTTTTAGTTATCGTTTCACCCCTCCCCCGCGCCCTTAAGGCAATAATGCTACTAGAACACAGGGGGCTACAAGTAGTGAAGGCGAAATAGAACAAGAAGATTGAGAAAGGGGAAGATCGAAGAAAGGACATAAGATGGACAGATGAACGGAGTTCAAGATGACAAAAGATGGTGACTGACGCTGCATTTTCATTTCTGATGATTGCAGTTTTCAGGGAAGCAAGAAATCGGAAGGGAATTTCACAGCTGGGAAGTACGAGGAAAGAAATTGTGAGGATCGAAATTGCGGTTGCATCTAGCTAGTTTAACATTACAACGGTGAGGTCGAATTGCCAGTTTGGTAGAAGTCGGTGGCAGAAGATAAATAAAAAAGCTCAAAGAGCAGTTGCCATGAAAATATTTACAGTAAAAGACAGATGGAGGCCACGTCAGAGATGTTTGGTCAGGTTCTAAAGATATTTTCATGGGCATTGTTCTGATGAACTTTCCTATTTGCTACCCCGACTTCAGGAATTTAAATGCAGTACTGGATTGGAAGCTAGGTCTCACAATATCACTATTGAAATTGCTAAATGTAACAATAAGATCTATGTTAATAGTTCTTGTCACCAGCAATTCTCTTCTGGCTCTATTTTTACTGTCAGTTACGATCTTAAAATAATTATTAGGTTGTTCGGAAAATAATATACGATATTAGAAGTAATTTTTATTCATGAATTAATGGATTTAAACAATGTTTAGCTAAGTCAAAATAAGAACCCTAAACTTATATATATTTCTACCATCGAGCTACAAGGTTATTCATACCTTTAACGATACAACTCTAAAGGTTTGAACTCTAGGAAATGCTTGAATGAAGTTCTTTACATCTTTACAACAAAATGATTTTGGCTTCAAAATTGTCAAGAGATTTGAAAAAGTGGAAATAAGTGAGTGATAAATCAGGTGAATAAGGTGGATGGGGCAAAGTTTCGTATAAGTGAGGTTCCGCAGAGGCATCCTGGCAACAAATTGGCCGAGAATTGTCATGAAGTAGAATTGAACCATGTCGATTATCCAGTGCCATTTGTATTTTTCTTAACTGAATGCGCATTTCATGTAGTTGCTGGCAAAGGAACCTTGGCAGTGATGCTCTGGTTAGATTAGAGTGCAGAAAACTGGATAACATCAACAGCGACCTGCCATACAATCAACATAATTTTCTGAAGGTGCAATTTCGGTTTTTGGAAAGTGTTTGTGTCCTTCGTATTGCTTAAGTCATTGGCCCTATCGTTTATGATCGTCATAAAGGTTGCATTTCTGATCACAAGTCACTATTCAATCAAGAAATTGATCGTTCGAATTTCTCAGATGCAGCGCCGAACACATGTCAAAAGGTCGAACTCTTTGACCAAGTCCCGTACAAAATAACTGAGTTTGTCTCCTCTGTAATAAGCATTGTAAGTTACCTGCACGCTTCGAAAATATTGAACTGTCATGCTCGTGTAACGACTCGACAGCCATCATGTATGCATAAATGGTGGATGAATCATCTTAGGGGATCAACGACCATATATCATACAAATTATACTATAAATTGCACGAGGACGTAGAAATATCAGTGTTGTTGTCTAGGCGCGCTATAAGGCGGCTGGTAGTGAGACACCTATCGTCATCATGGATACATCGAGGATAAAGAAAACTAATATAATACCTGTGATACATCTAGGATAAAGAAAACAAATACAATACCTGTGATACATCGAGGATAAAGAAAAGTAATATAATACCTGTGATACATCGAGGATAAAGAAAACTCATATAATACCTGTGATAAATCTAGGATAAAGAAAACTAATATAATACCTGTGACTTTGTTCAGATTAGCTGATATAGAACAGTACTTTTTGGGGACAAATGTATTCGAACCTCAGAGATTGGGACTGGCCATGAGTAAATCCTTTCTAAAAAAAAAGCTGAAGCAGAAGAGACTTGAAGCAACAGAAATGTGGTTCCACAGAAAGATGCTCAGAAGACCATGAACTGTACATGTAAGCAATAAAGAAGCTTTAGAGAAAATGGAAACAAAACGAACTCATACTTAACACAAGTTGAAATTTATAGGGTTAAAAATGAGGAAAGAGGTCTTGGAGAATTTGATACTCACAGGAGAGATAGAAAGCAAGAGGGACAGAGGGAAGTAACGCACAGCCTAGCTAGCGACTTTGTGTAAATTTAGGGCATAACAAGTTTCAGTAGAGATAGCAAAGATAGAAAATAAAGATTGTCTTTTGCTACAAAACGCTACAAATTATAGGAAATTGTGGAGATTTATGATCACTAAAGTCCTGAAGGGATAAAGAACATAGAAGAAGAATATATTTTGATAATCAATGAAGCGATGGAAATACTAGAAATAGAGTTGCAGACATAATCATGCATGCATGTAAACCCAACGGAGTGGTAAAATACTTTCGGGTTTCTGTCCAGTAATCTAAGAACAATGACATCAAAACTTCGACTGGGAGAAAAATTTCAGGACATCAAAATGTCTTTTCGAGTTCACTGTGAAACTGATATTAATGTCCGAATTTTATACGTCTTAAAATGTTTTTTTTTTTAAATTGATCCGAATCAGACTTTTACTGATGCTTTCATCATGAATCCGACATTAATATTATCTACTGTCAGTATTTGGTGTTTGAATATTATCCACACACACAATATATATAGTTAAACCTAGAGAGCAAAACAAATCTACCAAGGTTTCGCCTAAGCGGATCGTCAGAGAAGGCCGGCTTATATTATATTATTTTATTTTATTTATTTATTTGTTTTATTTTTGTTTTTTTGTTTTTTTTTGCGTACTCGTATCGTTTTTTTTTCTTTGGACTTTGGACTTGCATGCTAGACGATCATTTTTTGGCTAACGTGCATGTTCTTGATTCTTTCTTTTTTTTATACCCAAGACACCGAAGGTTTTCCGAACGAGTATAGTTTCTTATACTTATAAGATTTCTATTAATAATATATATATATATATATATTATATATATATATATATATTAAATGTTTGGTTGAATAATCTGGACATATATTTATTTTTATTTTAATCCTCTCGAATTCTCTGATGGACTTCTTAATGTTGATATTAAATTCATTAAGGAATGCCTCGTAGTTTTTCATTTTTTCCCCAAGTAGTTTCCATCTAATCCCGGATCATCTTTAAAGATGAATTGCAATTGAGAGTTGTAATGTTTTTGCAATTGCGCATGAAACGCCCTATGTTATAATTAATTTGAACAAGTGTGAACGCACTCACTCAAAATTAATTTAAAAATGAACTGTTAAATCTGTGCCTAGATTATTCAACCAAACATGATTGAATGAAGATATACAGCTTGTTTTAACTCTGGAATTGATTTCGGTTCGAGCCTCTCTTGGAGAAGGGCTTCCGAGTGAGCCCGTTAATATTTCAGCAACTATTGCTATATTAAAAAGTGTGAAATTCTTACGTTGTTTTAATAAATCAAAACAGCAATATTTGCTCTATATTGCAACAAACAGATCAAACGATGGTCGAAGACAAAGTGTATTTCTCGTTAATTTCGGAATCATTATCAGATTCTCGTTAGAAAGTACACTTTCAACATTCGAAAAATTGATCGCTGTCTATAGCAGGTATATTCTCTTCATATCAGTCTATTTCAGACTGTTCACGTCTATCTATATATGTACCTATCTATCTATTCACTTCTCTCTCTATATTCGTTTCTAGCTATCTAAATATTCACTTCTATCTATTCAAATCTATCTCTATATTTATATCGATCTGCTTCAATTTATCTAACTATTCACTTCTATGTATCTATATATTTCTATCTCTATATTCAAATCTATCTATTGATTCACATCTATCTACTTCCATCCATTCACATCTTTCTACTTCTGTCTATCTATGCACACACACACACACACATACATATATATATATATATATATATATATATATATATTACAATGAATCATTCATACAAAAAAAAGTAGATTAGTAAAGTTGATGATATAAAATGACGTAATCCCTTCGCAAACAAAATTTGCATTAACCCTTAAATCACTCAGTGAATGTTATGATCCTTGTTCTTCACCGCCTTAACCAGAACTTGGAGAGGGGAATTAACAGGAGATAACTGATAACTGACATCCATTAGACATGGCACGTGGAACTAGAACAGTCTACCCCAGCGAGCGAAATAAAGGGTTCAGTTCGACATTCCGACCAACTGAAGAAGGCCGGAGCGTACAACGGCCGAAACGTTGTAATAAATATGGCAACAAAGATGAGGACAATAGTCCGAATAATGTAAATAGTGTACATAATACCTCATCTCAGAAATATAGACAGATCTACCTACTTCTTCATATCTATCTATCTATATCTACCTATTCACATCTATCTATCTATCTATATCTACCTATTCACATCTATCTATCTATCTATATCTACCTATTCACATCTATCTATCTATCTATTCACATCTTTCTATCGATATATCTACTTACCTATCTACCTATTCACACTTTTCTATCTATATATCTACCTACCTATCTACCTATTCACACTTTCCTATCTATATATCTACCTACCTATCTACCTATTCACACTTTCCTATCATATCTACCTACCTATTCACACTTTTCTATCTATATATCTACCTACCTATCTACCTATTCACACTTTTCTATCTATATATCTACCTACCTATCTACCTATTCACACTTTTCTATCTATATATCTACCTACCTATCTACCTATTCACACCTTTCTAACTATATAACTCCCTACCTATCCACCTATTCACATCTATCTATATAGATTAATCCGTTCACATGTATTTATCTCAGTCTGTTCATATCCCTCTATCTCAATTTATGGCTATCTATAAAAAGTTAGTATCAATGTGTAATCTTTAGCAACCTTGTCTCACTATATCAATTACGTCTGAATTGTGTGTAGTGAGTACTCCAAACATTCTGCCTTGTGCCATATCAAAGCTATGCTTAGAAAATCCCTACCCCCTTACCGGTTGAAGTCGTTTACTTTCTACCTGGAATCAGATGATTAGCCCGGATGTTTAATACTGATCTTCATGGTAAGTCGATATACTTGTGTAGAAGATTCGCTCATGACAACCTTATTTTCCCCCAAGCAGTCAGTATATTCTTGAGCCTCTGCAAACAACAACGTTGCGATAACAGTGTATTCAGATTAGCATCTGACTTTACTCGGCCCTATATCGTGGCTGGGTACGGCGCGTGCTCGCCTCTGGCGTTTGCATTCGGTATATCCCTCAAGAAAAAAGCCAAATATTCCAGCGCTATTTTTCAAAAGAGGCAAGCCATCTCCACTCGAAAGATTTCCAAAACACGACTTACCTGATCCTCATGCAGTTATACACTTATTTGCAGTTTTTACCTGTATAAATATAAAATTATTAACACACACACGCCAGCACATCTAGCTATCTGCCTATAATTGTCGATTATTATTACTGCTGTAGTTTGATTTCAAATTTTCCCTATATAAAGTTCACTCTCTCTAATTAATATTCACTAAATTAATTGAGTTTAGTTATCGCATTATCCATTTTACTTGTGGCAGGATATCCTCATAGACTTTCTGAAACTCAATAAGTTTGTTTATCGCTTTGCTTCAAAATATATACAAAGTGCCCTAAAATAATTGACATAATTTGAAATGTGAATATCTGTAACTACATGTCCCTGGCAAATGAAATTAAATAGGCCTCATGTTGAACAATAAAAAAAAAAATTATCAAAATGCGAACAGGATATTCAAAGGGATGTAAATTTTATAACCGATTTCACAACGTTTAAAAATGTCCAATATGCACACCATCTGTGATACGACACATTAAGTCAGTAGTCCAGCCCTTGCTAAACACGCTGTAGCATGTCTTGCATAACATTCTCCAGGGTCTCATTGATTCTCTGCATAAGTTCCTCTAGACTTGTAGGAAGATAGATGATATATCGGAGGTTAATAGTAAAATTGTGCAAATCGTGTAAAAGCAAAATTGTACATTTAAGCATTGAACCGATGTGTCTTAGAAATGATTAAAGATATCCTTTATTCCCCGAGGTTTCTATAAAACTATTGGACTTTAAGCAATAAGGATGTGTAATTACTCTCCAAGCTTAACAAGAATTGTGATGAAATCGATCATAAACGAATGATATGTTCATCCTTAATTAACCACAGCTAAGGATCGGAAGCTCATGGAGGATTAAAATAAAGTTCAAATACATACATATATACATACATATCCCAGGATCATTTTACAACTTATTCAAGATAACCCTCGCCCTCTCTAACCTTCTAACCTTCTGTCCTGGAGTAACAAGTTATCTCACAAGTTTTACGTACGATTTCAATTTCCAGTCTTTTTTTCATCTGGTCTTTGGACTGTCATAGCTGAAACTCCTCTCTCTCATGTGCCAAATGTCTTATTGATTTAGTTGGATCTTTTCTAATTGATCTCTTTAGCTCTAAGTTGAAATGAAGATCTCTCTTGTTGTTGTGACCCCCTGATCCATTTTCACCTTCTACTGTTGCCTCTTTTTAAACTTATTCGCCGTTCTCTTGATGGTTCTTGAATGGAGTGTGAAGATGGAAGCTAGAGTATGAGTGTTGGTACCATGAGTGAAGGCCTGAATGATCTTTATTCCTCTCACCATTGGTCATTTTTGAAGAGAGTGTGTCTGACATAAAACGATTGTAACCGGTTCAATTTATAGCTGAATAACTCAAAGCGTTTTTCAGTGATTCTTATGACAAATGGTATCAAGATGGCTAAACCTCCGAGAACTTGGAAAAAAAGAAACTCAATTTAGTGGTTTTTTAGATATTAAACATTTTGTGGGATGGACAATTTTGCTGTTACATCCGGTAGACCTGACCTTTCACATAGCTCTAGAGGACAAAAAAAAAAAAAATGTTATCAGGTCAGGTGAACGTGTGGGCATTTCAACAGCATATTGTCATTATCACTGACACGTCCGATCCAACTTCCTGGTAGTTTAGTATTGAGGTAAGTCCGACCAGTTCTTACACATTTTGCTAAAATTTGTGATCATTTGAGAGAAAATCGGCAATGTTATTCGGCCACAGAATAATGTTACTTTTCTTTTATTCCGGTCTTCCATGAAGTTTTCGTTTTGCGTCCACTTCTTGGTATGGGGAAATTATTCTAACGGGAAATCACTGTTCTTAGGACCGGCTTATATCGTAACATTCACAAAGTTCAGTTGTCGCTTTTTCATCAAGGAACACCGGTTTACATATGGTATGAGGCGTTCAAAATCTTTCAAAAACCCATTGCACTAAATTATAATTAGCTAGTAATAAATAAGATTAAATTTTCACTTATCTTGTCCGTATCGCATAGTTTCGCTGAGACTACATTCAATCACCGGGTAACTTGATGGCAATAATACATTATACGATTTTAAATTCCATTTTCCGTTTTCCTAGATGGCATTTTACAATCAGCTCTCCTGATGAATGGAAGTAGTCTCCGTGAAACTCTTCGAGAAAAGACAAGGGATCGATTAATTTTATTTATTACTATTAATGATTTATCTCTTGATATTGAGGACTCTAATTGCAAAGACTGATTGCCTAAAAACGTTATCTTCCAGGGGTGGTGGGCAATAAAACTTTCATATATATATATATATATATATATATATATATATATATATATATATATATATATATGTGTGTGTGTGTGTTTATTTAAAATATATAAGCATATATGTGTATGCTGATTCCTTATTAGAAGACAGTATGTATATATGGGGAGGGATTTTACATATGCAGGCTAACGGAGATAGAAAGACATCTTTCATCAACACATTTATCATCACCAGCTCTCATACCAAACTTAATGGTTGTATTAACACTTTGGTAGAAATTCACTTTTGCCAACAGTCCAGAAAGGCGTTCAAGGCACACTAACAGAAAACGAAAAAATGAGTCATTAAAAGAACATAAGGGAGATTTATTCCTTTTAAAAATTTATTTCGTTTATCTGTCTGAAGAAGGTCCCGAGACCGGAAACACGTGTAGCAGAAAAATGAAGAATAAAATGTGATATATATATATATATATATATATATATATATATACTAAAACAAATCCACATTATAACCAAAAACGTTTGCGGTTTCTCGCACTCTCTTTTTTTTTTTAAATACATTTTTCTCTCGTAGGAACAACTATGACCCTTTCCCCATATATATATATATATATATATATATATATATATACACACGGGTGAGTACTGAAGTCAAATCCAAGTGGCGACAGTCTATTTGATGCTTGAACGCAATCCTCCGGACATATGCTGTTCAGTGGGTCTTTATGTGCAGCAAGGTAATGTATTACCGGTTTATTATCTTAGATATTATACGCACGCACCAACTGTCATAATTCAAATTATTATTAAGTCTATTGGGTAAAAATATTTGTGGATACGGATGCGCTTATTTGTAGCTACGAATATAGTGTTGTTTATTAACTTAACTCATTCTTTATTAGTCATTAGTGTATTTTATATTTATTCATTAATTATTTGTTGTTAATTATTATTAAATTTATTTAGTTGTGGTTATGGGTGCATTCGCATTCTTCATTTTTTTAATTACTTTTTAGTTTATGTTTTAAACATAATTTGTTTTATTTGTTGATTAATTTTTCTTTTGTTTTTCTTTTGGGTGTGGTTGACTTATTTGTCTCGCTTCAAGTATTATGTTAAAATACGTTACATTATCTGCCTTGTTTTTAGCACACAATTATATTTTTCATGGTAATCTTTTACAAGTTACTCGTTTTTAGTTTTCGATATCAAAGTAAGCTAATAAAGTAGTTTTCATATTTGGATTTGGAGATAAATTCTGATCGTTTATTTAATAATTTGTGCTATGGGCCTTTCTCTGGACATTTTTTTTTAAAAATATTAATATATTTTTTATATATATTTAGGGTCATGCATATTTAATATAAGTTCTGGGTCCTTTATGAAATAGCACAAAAACAATTTTTCTACAAGTAATCTGAGAGTTCACATCACTATTTTTACAAGGTATCAAAGTTCTAGTTAGCCTCAAAACAATGTTACCATGGGTATGCAGGTAGTGTGGAGGTTAGCGACTCGGAATTAAAAATAAGAGAACCGAGTTACAAGAAGGACGGGCTCCGTCAGGCTATCTTGATCTAGACCTATTATGATTCTCCAGCAAGTGTATAGAGTGTCCTTACGATCTTGATCGGTTACCGAAATCTTGACGTGGCGAAGCTGTCTTAAGATATCCGATATCACCACCGTCGCCATCATCACCAGAATTCCTGGCCGTGTTTTGTTGTAATGTCACTGCGCAGTGGAGAACCTGACCAGCTCCCTCCACAGTGCTCAGTAGCATGTTTTTGGGTAAAGTAGACATGGCAGAAGGCATCAGTTTCAGAACTTGAAGGCTTGCCTTAGTCATAGACACATGATTGTGTCTTTCATTTGGGTAGCCTTCCGACCTGGACATCAATTAGGACCACCACCCAGGGATGCCAGAAAAATTATATACAAACTGTTACCGGAGACTCAGATTAATGCAGGAAATATATTACCTATTATTAAGACCATTATTAAGTATATCACAGAAAACTAAAAGAGACTGATAGATATTAAACGCATATACAACGATTTTATTTTTTTAACGTCATATCAACTCCTTATGGATTATTTAAGAAAGAT